AGTGGTAATAACCAGGGGAGTCACGCGATGCTGGTGAGGCTCGACGCGTTTTGCACCGTAAGGCGCTTCTTCAGGGGCAGGAGGTGGTCCCCACAGTGCGTACCCAGCAGATACCCAGCACAAGCCAGCAGCAATGAAATGGATGGAAGGATGGAAAAGGCACGTAAACTAGCATTGTACCCGCCCTCTGCTGCAGTTCCCCATCAGGTCCATCAGCAGAGAGCGGGTATAATGCTAAGCCGAACATGCTGAGCATGTTCGGCCGACCCGAAGTCATGTGAAGCAAGCCGATGTACGGATGATTTCAGCTGATGTATGGCTGAAATCAGCCGTACCAGCCTGAAGTGAATAGCCGAACAGTGTTCCGCTCACTTCACTTCAGGTCGGTCATTCACTCGGCTGCCTACGGCAGCTTAGTGAATAGACCCCAATGTATAACAGTGTAAATTCAGATGTTCTAAAGTTAAATTCCTCTGATCATTATTACAAGTGTATATGTGTGTAAGTAGCACAAATATGCCAAGGTAGATAGCAGAGTGCACCTCTTGTACCAACTGGGAGAACTGTTTTTGCTGTTGAGATGTGCTTCTCTCTATCTTTAGCACAGTCTTATACACTGAGTGGCCAGATTATTATGAGCACCTGACGTTTGTAGGCAAATTAGCTATAATTAGCTATAATTTCGCGCTGAAGTTGCTAGAGGGCCAGACCATTAAAAATAGGGAAGCAGGTTGTTTACCACGACAGTAAAAGTGATTTTTTTCTCGACGTGACAACGTGATTTAACAGCCTTTGAACGTGGGATGATTGTTGGCGCTCAAGCCATGGAGCGAGTATCAGCAAAACAGCAGAATTCGTTAAATGTTCAAGAGCAGCTGTTGTTAAAGTGATTAAAGACTGGACTGTCAGCCGAAAATCTGGGTCTGAACATACGAATTGTGGCCATCAGCGACTAGTCAATGTTAGGGCAGAATGGAGAGTGGCAAGACTGGTACAAGACAACAGAAGGGCAACAGTGCAGTGTCAGATTCCTTGCATCACCTTTCAACATCTCGTGGAGTCACAAGGTGGCCCAAGGAAGTCATCCCGTTGGAGTCATCTCGTGGCCCAACGAAGTACTGATGGTGTGGTCATAATAATCTGACCACTCAGTGTATGTCTACTTTGCTGGTTAATTGACAGTTAAAAATGTTACTAGTCCTGGTGTTTCAAAGTCAGCAACATATATTTCCCCAAACTTGCACAATATTTTAATGGCATGTGCATATAGTAGGTTGTTCCATTTTTAACTGTAAATATCATCAATTATTATTGGCTACAAACATTTACCACCATGGGCCAAACAGTTTTGGGGAATATTCTGCTGCTTGCAATTGCCACTGCTTTTTGTGGTTGCCTCTACTGAGGCTGAAATAGAAGATGTCTAGGTGAAACCTGGCTGTTTATCGTTGACCTTAATGGGTAAGTCCTTCAACGTCCTCTTTCCTGTGGTCAACATTTCTGATACAATACACATACCTTAACTGTGGGGTTTTAATATTCTTCACTGTGTGGCTTCCAAGCACCACAGAGTCAGTTCCACAAAGTCTACCGAGCCAGGCAGTGCATGCTTCCCTGCCGCCATGATTTCCAATTAAAAAAAACTATAGTGCTTCACAGTGATCTTCTGGGTATGTTATGCCACTGAGCAGCTTCTTCAGTGCTCTAAAAATAGAGGGGGTTACTCGCTTGCCACAGCGGCTATTCAGAGAATGCCTAGTATTTTTATCAATGAGTATGAGGTGTTCTCTGATTGGACAATGGGCAGGTCATGACATCAATTATTAAAAAATACTAGGTGTTCTCTCAATGGCCATTGAGCTGAGTGAGCAACCCACTGTGCTTTCACAATAGAGAGGAAGCTGCTCAGTACAGCGATATACAGGACCCAGAAGAATGCTGCAAAGCACTGTAGTAGGTCCGGCTGCTAGAGTGCTTTAGAGCAGTGTTTCTCAACCTGTGTAACCTCAAGACCCACATTTGTCCTTGGTCATTAAGTTGAGACCCAAGTTGCACTGCAATGGAACGCATTGTGGTCTGCTGTGTTGTGACGGAGCTCCATCCATATGTGCATCCACTTATTCTGGCTCCTGGCACCTCTACATGGTGTGCAAGGGAATTGTATGTTACATCACTCCGGTCCAGGCACCTCTACAGGACACGTGAGGGAGCTGTAAGCAATGCATGTATGGATGGAGCTCCCTCGTGACCATACCCCCAGTCCACCCCACCTGAAGCTGACACTCAGCATCGGGCAGCATATTTTGAATAGCTGCTTGGCATGAGAACTGACAGTCCTGCGCTAGCGGGAGGCTGAGAAGTCTCTCACCTAGAAAAGTGGAAGGCACGCAGGGACCCATTGAACACGGGGTCACGACCCACCAGTTGAGAACCTCGGCTTTATAGCATCCCCGTGGCCTTACCAGGGATAAAATATGCATATTTACATTGGACCAAACTGGACCAATGTAAACATATATACAAATTTACACCTGAAGTTCAGCTTTAATCATGACTCACAAAACACAGTTACTTGATCCACTGATTAAAATTTCTTCTAGTAATCAGTCCATTTTGACGTTTGCAATAAATTGACATAAAATAAACTAAATAGTATAGACAGTGCTTTCCCCTTGGTTTCAGAGAGTAGAATCTAGTCTTGTAGTTGCAGCAATTTTTTAGACAAAAAAATGACAGCTCATTTGGATTTCCTCTAGTGAGTTAAGTTAAAAGGTTAGCCTTAAGCAAAGGAGTCCAAACGAGCAAGAGGTCAGTTAAACAGGGCAACTGTAATTGAGAGGTCACTGTGGTAAAACAGATAGTAAAAAAACAGAAATAAGTCAAATGGCATTTAATGTGTGAGGGGAGGTCAGGGAGCTGAAATAAAGAACTCAAGACAAATTATTAAAAAAAAATATCAGTGAACATTTCTGAGCAGTACAAATAAAGTAAAAAAACCTTTGTGTAATAATAAAGAAATCAATATACAGAATTCTGTAACTCATAGCATCAAGAAATCATCTCTTCTTCCGACTATGCTAAACAATGGAATCTGTTTTTTATGGATAGCCACATATTTCTCCTTAAAGTGAATCTGTGGCCAGGTTTTAGACATTGAAGTATTTATCTATATTTTTAACAAGCTGTAAATGTGCTTTAAAATAAGCCTTCACTGACGTTTATAGCTGCAGGCGCTGTGGGGCAATTACTCATCAGAAGTCACATCTGAAACATTGAGGTCGCTCTAGTCATTCTCAGCAGCTCAGCTCAACCTGCTCTCTCCTCCTGACAAAGACTTGGAAGCCTTGAAGCCTTCCAAACATTAATGTAAACACAAAGCAATATGCAAAAAGGGAACAGGGTGGACAGAGAGAATGACTTTAGGGCTTCAGTGTTTCTACTATCTACATTGAGGGTGAATTTGCTCCACACTGTGAGCAGCTACAGAGGTCAGTGAAGTCTTGTTTTAAAGCACATTTACTGCATATTACGAATATGTAAATGCTGGAGTATCCATACATAGCTACAGATGTATGTCAAATTTTGTTATGAAAAAACATGTACCACCCATAAATGATTTTCTTTTTAGTTTTGTGTATACTGGCATGTGTAATCATTTGCTGGCTTTCTCTCTCAGGGATTCCTGTGATGAACAATTGCTCATCAGATTTTATTTTTTTATAGCCATTATGATAGATCCTCATAATAGATAAATATTGAGGTACCCAGCTGTTCTATCTATGCCCTTACTTTAAATAAACATACGCCTGTCATTCCTACATATCTGTTTTAAATTATGTAGATAACGGAACTCCTTACATCTGTTTGATTGGCTATCTCAGCTTCCTGACTGCCTGTTGACTAAGACAAAACAACGAAGGAAAGCTATGCCAATTACACAATGGAAAATCTTGAATGAGGACCGTGACTTTTAGGGAACAGCTTAGCTTTAGATTTGAAAAAATGTGGATTCTTCCAATGACCGTAGCCACAATAATTGCCCATAAAAATGAAGTGCAGTGTAACACTGTCTACGCTAGCCATGTGTGTGTGTGGTACCTCAGTCTATTATTTTCCCATTCCTCCTTCTGTAGAAGCTGTCTGTGGCCTAAAACCATCATTATGTCATCTTTAACAAAACTGCCAAAAAGAACATTACAGCTGCATGTCGTATAGATAACAGACCTAGATAGAACAAAAGCCAATCTAAAAATATAAATGTTTTCTTGGCTGAGTTTTAATAGATATTTTGCTGGATAGATGCTGGCTGTGGGATGATGTATTGCTTTTGATGGATTGTGGCATAGTATTGCATCAGTGGTAACATAGGCTAATATACAAAGATCCTTTTAGATAGCTATAAGGTCAGGTTGATTAAATGATGTTTGCTGTATTAAAAGCATTCTTTTTTTGGTGAGACACTTATTAAAGAAACACATTGTTCAATGTCTCATTATAACTCACCTTAGTATATTCTATTTTAATTCCCTCAATAAAAAGTGACATTATTCAAATCCCGGCTGGTGAATCCTACTGCTGACATCTAAAATGAAGATGTGACCAGTGGAGACTATTCCTGGACAGGAAAAGGAAGCACCGATCCTTATTTTATTTGTAGGCTTTCATACACTTTCACTAATGATTGATTTTCTTAGCCTTTCACCAAATGTATTATTTCATCAAATATGTACAGAGAGAACTAAGACTTGACACTTTTTATCACTTACACTGACCTTCTGACAAGTCTGAGCAAGTCATGTAGCATATAAAATGAATTATTCATAACACATTTACTAAGAATTAAATTCTTAAGGCAAGTAATCCTACAACAGAGAGAATGCCAAAATGTAATTTATTATATACAAAAGATGCACAGATCATTCATCTCCAACACCTATAACAAGTGCATTCTTAGTTTTTTATTTTAAGCAAATTGCAAGGAATAATATAGCAGATCAAAAATAAAGCAAACCTTGCATTATGATTACATAAAGTAAAGTTACAGTAACCTATTTCAGCTTTTAAATAATTATATGGTACCACTGCCTGTTCAACACTTACATTCCCTGTTCCGGAGTGCATTCTGGAGCTGGCATTGACCATACAGAAAGTTTACTCCTTTTTTCATCACAGCCTCTGATGTTTCATGAGTTTAAAAACACACAAGCCAGTAGCGCCACGACAGAGTTGGACGTACAACAAGCAAACCATGAGCTCTGGGCCATTTACATAGAAATACATGGCCTTTTTTTAATACTTTCCTTTTTTCAGGTGTCTTCAGGTTAGTCACATGATGTGCAGGGTCCACTTCAGATATTTTCTGGCAGTAGGTGGTCCTTGATGATGCATCATTACACTGTGAGTGCAGGGAGCCATGGTGCCCTGCACTCATATTATATGCTGGGCATATAGTAGTAGAAAGGAATTACTGAGGGGGGCAGCTAATAATTTACAAAATGTATCTTTACAAAACAATATATTGTTACAAATTATACCTTAGACCTGTCCAGATGTTATTGCTATTATTTTGGTTAATCAGTTAAAACTATATGACTATAGCATAAATATTACTTAAATATTATTATACTATATTAATATTAAATGTACCTTTTTACCTTTTATGTTAGCTCATTATTACCCCCAACCCTTTTGTCCCATAGTGCAAAAAATCTTTCTAAGTGTGTTTGAATTAAAGCAATACTTACAACAAAATGCACGGTCCACTTATTCTTTTGAACCCCACCCTCCATGTAAAAATTAGGAGAAAATGTGATCAGAATGTACCTTACACCCAAGATTCTGCCCACAGAGACTAAGACCTAGTGTGTTTTCTTACTTAAATCTTGGTGTCCTTTGAGTATGGCTTCCAAATCTGTGCAGCAATCCACAATGCAACAACTCCTGCACTTTGCCTGTGTGCTCTCTGCACGGGCTATGTGCAACACAGTGATGATATCACAGCTACTTTTACAAGGTGATATCTGAGTTTTCAAAGGCATTGTGCACATAAAGTAGATTTACATCTAAGGATGCACCGATACCGGTATCTGTGCTGATACTGGGCATTTTCATGGGTACTCGTACTTGTGAAAATGCCCCGGTACTAGGAGCCGATACTGGCACTTTACAATTTTAAACAGAAGCGGCTGCCTGAGGTCCCACACTTGCTGGGGATCTCGTCAGCCTTCCTACAGCACCAGCAGCACATCTCCTCCTCCTTCCTGGATAACTACGCCTCCCACACCCACCCTTGGGACCATCTGGACCCTGGTGAGACCCCACACAACTCACCATAGACTCTGCACGGCCCACCATAGACCCCGTACAGCTCACCATAGACCCTGCACAGCCCACCACAGCCCCTGCACAGCCCACTCTAGACTCTGTACAGCCTTCTAAGACCATATACAGCTGACCATAGACCCTGCACAGCCTCCTAAGACCGTGCACAGCCCAACATAGACCCTGCCCAGCCCACCTGGGACCCGCACAGCCCTCCTGAGACCCCGCACAGCCCACCTGAGACCCTGCACAGCCTCTTGAGACCTTGCACAGCCTCTTGAGACCTTGCAGAGCCTCTTGAGACCCTGCACAGCCTTTTGAGACCCTGCACAGCCTCCAAAGACCTCCTAATACACCGCACAGCCTCCTGAGACCCCACACAGCCCTCCTGAGTTCCTCCACTGGAGACAGCAGTAGTATGTAGCTTCATATTATTCTGCATTGATGTATAATGCATTGCTGAGATTTGTAGTCCTCTATAACCAGGTGCCATTCAGCCTTGCTGTATAGTGTATTGCTGGGATTTGTAGTCCTCTATAACCAGGTGCCATTCAGCCTTGCTGTATAATGTATTGAATGTACTGTGTATTGTATTGAATTATCCTTAGAACCAGAGGGACAGGATGGATGAGGTGGTGTAGCTTCATATTATTCTGCATTGATGTATAATGCATTGCTGAGATTTGTAGTCCTCTATAACCAGGTGCCATTCAGCCTTGCTGTATAATGTATTGCTGGGATTTGTAGTCCTCAATGGCTGATGGTATTATTCTACATTGCCGTATAATGCATCACTGGGATTTGTAGTCCTCTATAGATGATGGTATTATTCTGCATTGCTGTATAATGCATCACTGGGATTTGTAGTCCTCTCTAGCTGATTGTATTATTCTACATTGCTTTATAATGTATCACTGGGAATTTGTGTCCACTATAGCTGGTGGTATTCTGCATTGCTGTAAAATGTATTGCTGAGATATGTAGTCTCTCTACAGCTTGGAGTTAGTGGCAGAACTACCAGGGGCGCAGCATTTGCAGCTGGGACTCGGCCCTGGCCTGCCCTAAAATCATTAGCCTGTATTGTTTTAGAAAAACAGTTACATGACACTAAAAAAAGTAACGGTAATTGGTATCGGCATGTCCTTGGTCAGCAGAAAATGGTATTGGTGCATCCCTATATACAAGCTTTGTGCTTATTGGGCAATATATATACATTCCATTTCTTTTTGTGGCTGAGTTCAGCTGTAAGGGATAATCTATATTTACCAATTTAACAACCAGTTCAGATTCCTGGTCCCCTGTTGCACGCTGTAATTCCACCCCCCAGCCCCTATATCACTACAGAATGCAGGAAGGTTTCAGGCACACCCAGAAGTGTTGCAAATGCTGAAGATCTGTTAGCAAAATAAGCTCTTCAATACAGCAGAGTTTTGTTGCGTGGGCAGAAAAGTATTAATTGTTTGCTTTGTAGGAATTGCCTGTTTTTTTTAGCTTTTATAAAATACTGATAAACCTGACCTTATATACCATATAGGCAAACACGAAAAAAACTTGCTTTTAAGTTTAAACTGTGGTTATTGCAACTGGTTTAAAAAATACAGTACATGTGAACAGGGATGCCTGTAACACTACCAAAGCAAGACTGAATGTCTTTACACTAGCATGTCTGGTAGCAGTGACCCATGGCACAAATCACATTTCATGCAAGGAATTACAAACGAGGAGATCCAGACATCACAGGCACACGATTTATAGGGTTCCCTCTCTCGCACAAGCTTTTGCGTAATGCAAACAAATCTTATGAGCTCAGAAAAGTCTTCTGGATCTATGTGACACATAATATTCTATGCTAAGAAAATTAATGTTTGTTCATACTTTCCAGACAGTATATGACATCTAAAACATGACATATTGAGACATGATTGTTTCTTCTATCGTTCTTGATATATTTTATTTGGCAATTACTTATATTTAAAATATTTGAAGGAGAAATGAGTCCATTTACTGGTCAGATTTTGATGCAGATCATTTATCTCATTGAATCTGCCAATGAATTTTCCTGCGTGACTATAATCAGTAGATTAAATAAAATGTTAATAAACATTAATATTATATATAGTAGTGATACAGCAACTGGGGTAGCAGTAATAAAGGGCAAGCAATATTGTAACTTTACATTAGTAATGATATGAAGGCTTAAAAACCTGGTGTATATGCCTGTCTCATTTT